CAGAGACTATCTCTCTCTCTCTCTCTCTCTCTCTCTCACTCACACGCAGGGAGTCTGAGGAGATTCGTGCTTTCTCTCTCTCTCTCTCTCTCTCTCTCTCTCACACGCAGGGAGATTCGTGCTTTCTTTTCTTTTCTTTTCTTTCTTTCTTTCTTTCTTTTTTTTGTTTAATTTCTAAAACATACGACCGGAAGTCCGACCCCCGAAAGTCGCTGCGCGTTAACGGCCGCGACTTCTAAAAAACAACGGGGAGGTACTGGTGGTTTGAAGTTGTGTTAACAAAGAAAATCATATGTGAAACACAGGCCGGGTTGGCGGAGATTTCACAATGGCCTGTGGACAGTGTGGAGTAATGGAAGTCTCCAAAGTTGTGACTTGCGTTTAACAAATTTGAGCTTATTTATTCCCCTTATTCGACCATATGAAAACAAAGAGAGAGGTTGGAACATGCACATTTCAGTTGGAGAAGTGAAAAAGGAGGAGGAACTTAGAAGACCTGTTTGAAGAGCTCCCCAAGGGGAGTGACCAGATTCTTCCGTGAAAATCCATTACTGCCATCAGGATGACCAGACGGTTTTTGCAGCTGAACTGCTACGTCTCTATCCGCCACGACGAACCAGTGCTTACAGTACTTGTTGAGAACTGGAAGGTATCTTCGTTCACACTCGACGAAAGACATGAGTGGAACTGGAAACCTCAAGTCCACTTTCGACGATGGGTCCGAGGCGCTCGACTCCACTGCTGGAGCTTGCCCCATCTCAGAAAGAATATCGCATGCCACTACCCCAATCCGCTTCTCTTGGAAAGCGTTTATGACTTCATTGGCCATATCTCGGTCCTCCACAACGAAGCTGCAACACAAGGCAAAACGCAAACCAAACAAATAAGATGTACCGTCAATCGTGGATGATGATTTTCTTGTTGCACTTCCATGTGTGCGAAGTTGCCGACTCTAAAACCTATCACGGCTTTCTCGATTTATGCGTGTCATCCTTGCACAGGGGCCATGCTAATCTTTTCTGTATTGTTCCAATTTTAACGGATGTCCCGAAGGACTCAACATCATACTATCCTTCGTGACATAACTTGGAATGACATATAGAAGATTAGCATGGGCCCCTGCGCGGGGATGACACGCAGAAATCGAGCAACGAGAAAAATGAATAGATAACCCTCAAGTCTCAACCTGTATCCTGTAGGAGCGCAAAGTCCAAATTTCACAGACCAGACCCCTTTGGAAGTTTGGACACAACTCTTTCAATGTTTACCTTCTAACTTTACCTGGCTCCATGGTAATGGTTGTGAAGCCCCTCCCCCCCCCCAACCCCATCCTCCTGCTCGTGACTGTGACTGCTTACAATTTTTTTACTGTAAGAGTCAGTAAGACGCAATTCCTCGCGTAATTGATCATCTGGTCCACTGAGTTTCTCCGCATTCTTGGATATGTTTCAATTTGAAGTTTGAACTACTTAAAATTTCAAAATTTCCATTCCATAATCAATTCTGTCCTTCGACCTTCCTACCAAAAGGGCGAGGAGCGTGTGCGAGTTCTCTATGAAAGATTTTGACTTGCCGGTGGAAGAGGAACCGGACTGATGCTCTCCAGAATGGAAAAGAAGCCAGATCCATAAGGTTCTGTGTGTTTGTTTGTTAAACTTTGTTTGTTTGTTTGTTCCTCGATTTCCATTCCATTTTTGTTTTTGCGCAGTCATGTCATGTGCATTGGACTCCAGCTTCTCACCATGTTGCAAGATTTAAGGATGCCATCAATACAGAATTGACAGCTGTTCTCATCTTGTAATCCACGAACGCAATGTCGCACAGCCGTCCATGAAACCTTCCGGGATGCTTCGGCCTTAGCCTCGCCACTTCTGCGTCGTAGCTGTTAGTTTTGGCCGAACAGGATAGCATGTCCTGCTTCTTGGCATGAAGCTCTTGACCACAGACCTGCAGACCAATCCATAGCATGTTAGCAAACACAAAAAAAAAACTAGAATACATAATGGACTTTGTGGGCTAGAGTGACCGATACTGAAGATACCGTCTTCACCCGATCGCTGCATCTGGACTGAAAGTTGTGCGAAAATACAGCTATAATGACCGGGTGCTCTATTTGGGTGAAGACGGTAGTAGAGTTTGCAACAATCTCCAAAAGAATGATGATTAACTGCTCAACCTAGAGATAAGAGTCTTGGATTACAAAGAGTGCTCTCAAGACACGGCGTCCTGGAACAAAAGGCCTGTACCTGCAGAACGGTCAGCTCGTGTTTCAATTTGTGCCATGTTTTCATCTTATTCTCATCAATATCTCTCGAAAGAACACCTATTTTCTCCCATAGTGCTGCTTCCTCTGCATCCTGAGCTTGACAGCGAGAGGCCTGGCAATCCAGCTCTTGCTGCAGTTTCACCACCTGATTGAAATGGCGATTAACAACAAAACAACAAGCATTCCCTTAATTCTTCGGGACATCCGTTAAAATTCGAACGATACAGAGAAGATTAGCATGGGCCCTGCACAATCAAGGATGACACGCATAAATCGAGAAATGGTCCAACAAAAAAAAAGGAAAAAAAAAGGAAAAAAAAAAAGAAAATGTGTTTTGAACAGTCCCTGATCCGTAATTTGGGGAATTGCTTGGAGTGTGTATTATGTATCTTTCTGACTTGCCGGTGGGGAACAGGAAATGGGTTGATGACTGATGTGTACCAACGGGCCTAGCTCAGTCGGTACACCCATCAACTGTTTAGATACATACGCAAGTTCAAATCATGATGGACCAAGATGAATGGAATTATCTGGAATTACCTGGGGCCGGTCAGGCCGATGCTGACATTTTTTTCTTTTTTTTTTTTCGAGAAAAAGGAAGTGGACTGGTGCCTCCCCAGAATGGATATGGAGCCAGGCCAATAATGCAAGGAAGATGAGCAATAGCGAACTTCAGCAATCAAACAGCATCATACATATGAGACCAGATAGTCGTGACCTCGAACCAACAGCAGAATTGCATCACGAGTTGCACCAAATAAGAACACACCAAGAGTTCATAATTGACAATGCTGAAATAGTCCCATCATCATCATCACCGAAGAACCAAAGTTGATATCCTATATGGCGCTCGGCGCCCAGACTACATATGGCAGATCCTATCTAGCCTATACTACAATGCTGAAGTTGACGACAACAACTCTCCTGAAGTACGAGCAGATAGCGGCCAATGCCGCACGCTTCCAGCACCAGATATGTCTCTCGCTTCACTCACAACCTCGTTCCCCAACTCACATGTTATGAACTTGGTTGTCTGACAAATTTGTTTGCCACTCACACGCAGAAGAACTCACACACGCCCATACATGCATGAGACAAAGGGGAGGAGGAGACAGAGTCCAACTGCACACAGACCAGAGATAAGCAGCGGAATAGCAACCATGCACAGAAGGGGAGAATACACACAGTGTTCCTCTCTCTCTGACGCACTCCCAACAGCCAATCACAATATGACACTGCGAAGATCACAATTGGAATATGACACAGATGATGAGCCAACTCAACTCAATTAACCCCAATTATCGTCACAGAGTTCAACCCAGTGTCTCGCCACCGCAGTACCACACACTCCACTCACTACTTCACTCCCAGAGTCTAGCGCTGCACTGAAACAGCCTCCCAGAGGCCAGCGCCATACACCCAGATGAAGATCATGAACAGCGATGTAGTCCCCAGTGCCGATGAGTCACTCTGGCGATGAAGAAGGTAGCTATGGCTGCCAGGCTGCTACCGTAGCAGCAGCGCCCACATGTACCCAGCGAAGAGCCTCGGAATAGTCCTGCGAGGCGCAGATACCCCCAGAGGGTAGATGCGCTGAGACCAGCCCCAGCTATGGCCGTCTCTCAAGGCCGGCTATGGCTGCCTCACGTAGCTGAAGTCTCAAGTGCCGCTGTAGACTTTCAGCGCTGCACAACTTGGTTGGCCCCGAACGCTACACGCGAAAATGAAAAGCCAAAATTCCCCTCCCCACTCGGCCTCTCCTACTTCTAGATTCTAGCCTAGACCTACTGGACCCTACCGGACCTAGACCTACTGGACCCTACCGGACCGAACTACCGGTACCGTTTCAGCAAGGGCCTGTTCGGCCTCTACAGCAAACCCTACAGCACTTAGGGCGCAGAGCCACTTAGGGCCTGCAAACACTCAACCTACCGGTGTTAATTTATTCTATTTTTAGAACAGCGGACAACCCTCAGTGCGACCACAAAACACAGCAACCGCACACAGCAAAACACGCCGCAAATACTCAGCACGCAAAACGCTGTATGATACAACCTCGCAGTCAGTTACGACAGCTGAGATCAGCAAGTCATTGCAGGCTTACCCTCCCCGGGAGCGAGGACCTCCGAGCTAGGGGTGCAGGCGAGGTGAGCGGCGAAGGTTACCCTTCTGAGCCGCTTCATATCGCAAYACAACRGACTTTGYTGTCTTGAGAAGGTCCTTCCTGTAATACCACCGATTTTCAGTCGGAGGTTGGAAGGCAAACTTCACAAGATACTGCCGGTCGGGGCCAGTGCCCCACTCATCCTCAATGGATACCACGTCGTATCCCTTACCAGGGATTGGTGGACCCCACTGAGGGGGCCGGTCAGGGAATGCATCAACTGGAGTGAAGGGAAGCAGCTTAGATGCATGGAAGACCAGATAGGTACGTAGATGCAGAGGGACATCAATGGTGTACGACGGACCAAAAGGATCAGCCCCTACTGTATCTCACACCTGCCATGGACCCAAATACTTGGGCAGCAGCTTGGGAGAGATATCCTCCTCCCTCGACAACTCTGAACTGGCTACCCAGACATAGTCACCTGTACGAATGGGGGAAGGCCTGCGATGGCGATTAGCTTGTTCAATCATTGCCTTTTGGGCTTTGAACAAGTTCGCTCGAGCTCTTTCCACATCCAGACGATAGCGTCTGGTGAACTCTGCGGTGCCTGGGGTCAAGTCTGGCTTAGCCTTGTCGATGATATCATCGAGAGGCCGACGTGGCTCTCGTCCCCAATGTAGTCGATAGGGACTGAATCCAGTCGAGGAGTGGACAAACATATTATACATGAGCTGTTCACGAGCGAGATGGAGGTCCCAGTCCTGTTGATCTGGTGAGATAACAGGACGCAGCAATTGGAATAAGATCTGGTTCATCACTTGAGCCTGACCATTGGCTTCAGGATGACAACCAGAAGTCATATCTAGTCGAAAGTGTAAGTAGTCCTTACAGTAGGACTGCCACTCATCGCTGCAAAATTGGGGATCTCGATCGCTGACAATAGAAGTGGGCGGTCCATGGTGCGTGACCCACCTCTCAGAGAAGGCTGCTCTCACAGCCGGGACCCTCGCTACCTCTGGCAAGGGGATGAACTCTGCATATTTGGAAAACCTGTCAACGCAGACCATAACCTGACGCATGCCACGAGAAGTGGTCTTGCCTAAGTCCGTGAAATCAATGGATACAGACTGTGAAGGACCATCAGGTATGGGCAAGGGTTTGAGCAGTCCCAGAGGAGGTTTCCGCTGAACCTTATTCCTCTGACATAGCTCACAGGTTTCCACATAGCGCAACATATCACTCCGCATCTCCTTCCAGAAGAAGCGTTGCGACAGGGCTGCATACGACTTTAAGAACCCAAAGTGTCCACGTGCATCGTGGCACTCTGACATCAGCAGTGTCCTCAGCTGCTGACCCTCAGGAATACATAAGCGCTCCTCTCCTCTGCTGTAAGTGTACAACAGATCTGAACTCATAGCATAGCCAGGTTCAGAATTGGGATCTGCTTGCAGATTCCTGATGATGGGTCCATAAGTCGGATCCTGAGGCAGTAAGCGAGTAATGGTCTGACGGACCTCCTCTCCAAAGGAGTGAGTAGAGAAGATCAGCGCAAAAGAATCAGGCCTACGAGAGAGGGCATCAACTACCTTATTGTAGCAGGCCTTCTTGTGTTTCAGTTCAAAGTCAAACAGGTCGATGAACTGAATGTAGCGTGCCAACTTGTCGTTCAACTCTCCCTGGGACTTCAACCACTGCAAAGTGGAATGATCAGAGAAGATCTTGAAGTGCCTGCCCAGGAGAAAGTGCTTCCAATGTTTCAGGGCACTGACAAGAGCATATAGCTCTTTCTCGTAGGTAGAGTCCTGAAGTTTCTGAGTCTTGATCTTCTTACTCATAAACTCAATAGGTCTCAGACCATTCCCATCATCCTGCTGAAGTACTGCCCCAATGCCATACTGACTGGCGTCAGTGGTCAGGACGAATGGCAAGGTGGGGTCAGGTAGCTTCAGAACAGGTGCATGAGTCAAGGCCTGTTTGAGTCGTGCAAAGGCCATCTGGCAGTGAAGAGACCAAAGAAAGGGAGTGTCTTTCTTTGTGAGGTTAGTCAGGGGTGCAGCCACTACAGAAAAGTTATTGACGAACTTTCTGTAGTATGAGGCCAGACCCAAGAAAGACCGAACATCTCTCACTGTCTGGGGTTGTGGCCAGTACTGAATAGCAACAATTTTGGCGGCTTTAGGGGCCAGACCATCTCCAGAGATTACATGACCCAGGTAGATCACAGAGGGAACTCCAAAAGAGGACTTCTCTTTGTTGATCTTATACTGGCTGTCACGTAATGACTGAAGGACCAGAGCCAGGTGCTCTGCATGTTCCGTGGTAGTTTTGCTGAATACCATGATATCATCCAGGTAGACAACCATAAACTTATCCAGGTACGGCCTGAAGATGCGGTGCATCTCTGTCTGGAACGTGCCAGGTGCATTGCAAAGTCCAAATGGCATAACCAGATACTCATAAGTACCATATCTGGTTTTGAAGGCTGTCTTGTGGACATCCTCCTCTGCCATCTCAATCTGGTGATAACCAGACTTGAGGTCGACTTTGCTGAAAATGGTGCATCCCTGGACCATGTCCAGAAGGTCATCGATCCTAGGAAGTGGCTCTGTACTCTTCCTAGTGATCTTGTTGAGACCCCTGTAGTCGATGCACATTCTGAACTCGCCACTCCCCTTTGGAACGAAGAGGACTGAAGCGCCAAATTCAGAAGTGCTGGGCCTGATCCGGCCTTTGCTGGTCAGGGTCTCAAGCTGTCGTCTGAGCTCCTCAAGCTCAGCAGGGGACATCCTGTAGATGCGGCCCTTGGGAGGGACCGCTCCAGGCAGCAGCTCAATGTGATGCTTGGTTGGCCGGTTGGGTAACCCAAAGGGCTCCTGCATCAGATCAGCGTACAGGTCCACCACCTGCTGTATCTCAGGAGGACAGGAAACAGTGGGAGCGTCTGTTTGCTTGACTAGAGCTATAAATAGACGCTCGTGGTCATACTGGCATGAGAGAGCATAAAACTCTCTCGCTCTCAGGCAGAAGCATGAGGTCTTAGGGTGGTGATCAACAACAATCATGCAAGGCTGATACACCCCCTTGTTGTTAGGCAGCTCAACCTTGGGGATCTGCCAGTCGATCCTTGGGTTGACTGCTTTCAGCCACTGCATAGAGAAAACCAGGTCAAAGGGTAGATCAGGGAATATGTAGAAGTTCAGACTGTGTCTGACTTCTCCAGCACAGTCGAAGGTAACAGGGATGCCCCTGACCTTCTCCCTGATAGTCAGTATAGTGGAGTCACCTATCCTGACCTGCAGCGGTTGCTGCAGTTGCACCACTTTCATGCCCAGATGCAGTTTTTTGACTGCGCTGGGGGACATGAAATTTCGGGTGGCTCCACAGTCCTGCAGCCCTTTGATTCTGCTGTGATTGATCAGGGGCCGAAGGAGTATGAGATCAGACTTGCTCTTCTTTTGTTCTTTCAGATGAAAGAAAAAAGCAGCAAGTGACTGACACTCAGACTGATCCGGTTCCTGATCCGGGTCAGGATCCTTATAACTCAAGGATGCTGCCCGTGCAGTCCCCACACTGGGAAGGACAGATGTCTCAACTGAAGCTGCTGCAGATGCAGATGCAGGTGCAGCACTGGAGGGAACCGCAGTCTCCAGGGTCAGCTTCAGTTTTTTGACTGAGCTGGACTGGGCATGTAGGGACAGTCCTTCAGAAAATGTTGTCCCTCACACCTCAAACAGACTCTCCTCTCCTTCCTTTTTCTCCACACCCCTTCCTGAATTTTGAGATCATGCCAAGGAAGGGTGTTGGGATTCAGGGGGTCTGTTGGAAAGCGGACGTCACGTGGCAAGTTAGGGCGTCGGGCAAGGGTTGAAGAGCGACGTCCCTGGCTCTTCCCCTTGCTGCTGGAGGCTGTGCTGGAGGAAGACCCGACCTTTTGGAAGGTCCCCAGCGCAGCCTGCAGCTGCTGCATGGCCGCTGCAACATCTGTGACAGCAGTTGCTGCAGTCCCACCTGGCGGTGTACCAAGCTCGGATCCTGCATCAGAAGATGACGCAGATCCTGCATGTGCAAAGGCCGCCTTTCCCCTTCTACCACCGCGAGGGAAAGCGTCTTTCTTTCGGTCACTGGAAGGGGCCTGGACATGGAGCTTGGCCTCCATATCCAATGCTGCGCGGCCAAAAGATCTCCAGTCTTTATGCCCTGCGTTGTACAATGCAACATAAAACTTTTCAGGCGCAGCCCTGCAAAAGTTAGTCATCAAATCATCAGCAGACATCACCAAGCCAGGGGTGGAGGTTAGCTGCTCAAACTCAGCAAAAAGGGCCTGCAGACTACCACTGTAGCGCTGCTGTCCAAGGCGTACGATCTTGTCAGCAGCCTTACGTGCACGCTCTTTGTCTGCAAACCTGTCCTCCAGGGCCTGCAAAAGTTTGTCCACTCCCAGGGCTAGGGCCCAGTCCTCCAAAGTCTGTGACTGGGCGCTGGCTGTGGATGTAGCCCATTTGTGGGCTGGGCCCTCCAGCAGCCCCACAACGGTGGCCACTTTCTGCTGTTCTGGGCACTGGAACCCCTTCAAGTAAGCCCGGGCTCCTGCTGCCCAGTCCCCAACATCAATTTTGGGGTCGTCGCCCTTGAATTTGCTGGGTGCAGGGATTTTGGGTCCTCGCTGATCCCCAGCAACTACAACAGCGAAAGTGGGAGGAGGTTTGGCTTTAGCCTGGGAGGAGACAGAGGGAGATGACTTGTGGGAGGTATGAGGAAAAGAAGGAGGTGAAGAAGGTTGAGAAGGCCTGTTGGGTTTTGGAGAGGGGACGACAGGTACCAGAGGGGTGATCAGGTTGGCTGCTGTTAACTGAGCGGTCAGATTCTGGATAGCATCCAGGATCTTAGACTGCTGAGTTCCCAGGTCGCTTACCCTGGTTTCCAAACGTTGGATCCCCTCATCCCAATTAGTGAAGTGGTTGGCTGTGATTTTGTTTTGCAGAATCACTAGCTCAGCCAAATACTTTGTGCACTGGGCCACCCTGTCATCAGTCATGGTCTTCTCTGCTTGCTGCAGCAGAAATTCCTTGCGGGAAGCATTTGTTGCAGCCTCTAATTCTGCAGCCTACTGTCTCTCAGCTTCTGCGAGCAGCGCCTGTTGCTCTCACAGTTTTTCCTGAATTTCCCTCTTGCGCCGCTGAGCAGGGGTGAGAGGAGGAGGGGTAGGAGCAGAGGGGGAAGGTTGCTCTTCCTCCTTGACTACTACCTCTACCTTTCCCTCACCTGAATCAGCTGCGTCAAACATCTTCCCTTTCAGATACAACATACAACAAAGTTAGACAGCAAGAGGTGCAACAATATACAATCCACTAATAGTCTCAGAAATCGTTGCACTGTCAATTCAGAGGGTAAGGTGGGTTAGTGGGCACACTAACCCACTACCTATGGCAGCTATGGCAGCGCTAGCTGCCACTACCTATCGCTACACTACACTTCTCTGCCCACTTCGTCTTCGGGCACACTGCAGACCTCCTCGCACAAGCTGCTAAGGCAGCGCTTCCGCATGGCATCCGCAGGAATGAATCAATGGCTGGACGCAGCCTCTTGATTTATACTTCTGCGCTGCGTTGGTCTGCCCTGTATCCCTGGCCCATGGTGCACACAGTCCCCCCCGTGGTACTTGCTGGACCGGACTGGTACTTTCTAGACTCTC